TTATATAGTGCTCCAGCCCGTCCTCAGTCCATTCCAGCCAGCGATCGACCCCAAAGACGCATTCATCTATTTTAACATGCTGTTCATTCAAAATAGGACTTTTTCCAAATATGAATTAATATTGTTATATATTTGCACATTGTGCATATTTAGGCACTGGTTAGGTTAGGTTAGGTGTTTAGGTTCTGTTGTCGATTATTTGTATTTGTAGTACGTGGGTGAAGCATTTACAGCTTTGTGGTTCGAACAAAATTCGTCTTGATCCGGAACTGTTCGAACGTCATCAGTTGAGTCGTGTGTAAACCGTTTTTCCTTCATAAACAGGGGGGGTTGGCGGGTGCATGGAATGGACTTTGTCCTTTGTTTATTACGACGAGCTGAGTGCTAAGCCAGTATGTGACTATATAGAACACAAGCACCGCTCATTCATGAAGTACTTAAATACCTCATGATGCAGAAAAGTCACTAGACAATGGGTTGTGGAAATATAAGAACCCCGTAGACCTTCAGAGTTCGTAAGTAACCGAGTAAGAACAGACTAAGCTGCCATGATCGAGGTAAGAGGTACAGGCCTTATGGGCGAACACGTAAGTACTCCATAAATCCTGGCACTGAAAATCAGGGCACTCCACTAAAAGATGCAAGACCGAATAGATGGACGAGACATTCAGGACGGTAACATGCAGGTTTCATTGTCATCAAGTGACAGCTAGTGAACGTTTGCGTGACCAATACCCAAGCAAGCTATGACAGTTTCCTCACATTCGGTTCTTGTAATATAAATAAAATCAATAGGAACCTTACCTTTCGTTGGTTCTGAGGTTTATCGTCCCAGAGCGGCCCGCTCTCACCAGACCGCGCGGGGCAACCCGCTCTCGCACAAGACAGTCCATATATGACTTATTGCTTATAGTCAATATTTGGCTTATGAATAAGTATATATATGATATATTCTAAGTTCTATTTTTTTCAAGGCACTAACTCTTCTATTTAAGTTTTATTAAACAATAGAGATTTTATACAAAATTTGACAATATCCTGGGTTACTTTACAATTTATTTAGATATTTTAGTTTTGTTTTATTATTTTTTTATAAAACTGTAATATCAATATAGGTAATTAAGAAGCTATAAAATACTTATCTTAACATACTAAGAAGGTTAGGTTAGGTTGTGGTTTTCTATTCAGCTTTTCAGGTAAACTTAAATATTCACAAAAAATTTGTGTCACATATGCACTTATTCATAAGCCAAATATTGACTATAAGCAAGTGCGAGAACTGGTTGCAACCCTCAACAACGGGACGGAACCCAGCAAAACTACACTAATATTTCATTTGTCGGGGGGACAGGCAGCATGTGTATATGTACATGTTAGGTTTATATTGAGGTCCCTCCAAGGTGGAACTACTGACCTTTGCCAGGATGCAACCTCTCAATAAATTGACTAACTCCTGAGTATCTATTGACTGCTAGGTGAACGGAAGCATTAGGTGATAGGAAACGTGCGAAACATTTCTGTTCCGCCCAGGATTCCCAATTGTGAGTCAAGAACGAACTTAACTGTACTACCAAGATCCTAAATGTGTTTACTAAAATTAATATCAGATTTCTGTAAGCAAAGGATTGAAGGGTTTAACAGACTGTATAACCAGTAAACATTGGTAGTCAGTGACGACAAACGAAGTTCGTTTCATTGCACTTGTGTTAGAAATGCATTTAACATTTAGAAATGCATGGAAACACTTAACGTATTGTGTGAGGAAGACAGGAACTTGTTAATTATCAGAAGGAAAGTAGTGTTAATAGTTGTCTTTAACACTGGAGCGACTGTGTTGAGTTATAAGGTAAGGTTCTCTGGTGTAAGGTATCACCGCCCCTGACCACTCAGGAAGGACTTAATAACCTTTGTTTAGCTGTGAGATATATTTGTGCCACATTAGATCAGATCATTATATGGAATATATCAAGATTTTTGGGACCAGTAGGCTACTAATTAGGAAAGAGATTCGTTGGGTCTTTGAATAGATTTTAAGGAAAATACAAAGCATTATGAAAAAACCTCCTTAAAATTGTAAAATAATTACGAAAGGAAGACTCAAAAGACCAAATTTTCGCAACATAATTCTTTATTGATTAAGCCTGCCTTTTTAAAACTGCGATGATTTTTTTTGTCGTGTTTTCACAAGAACTAACAACAAGAGGTGGTGGCGTACACCGAGCAGGGTCTCCTAGCTACGTCACACCCGGCCATCACCACTGACTGACACACACTGCGAGCCACACCCACCACACTGTGCTGGCCCTGTGTTTATTCCCCATTACGGGAGATCAAACTTCACAAGCCTAACGTATTTGTTGCTCGGCGTCCTGGCAGTCTGGGTCCCCTCCACAGGCATGTGGAACTACTGCCTGACTTACACTGAGGAAGAACATTGATTACTTGTTATTGGTGATATTTCCCCACTTATGAGTCACTTGGCTTTAAACAAATGAAATAAGGCAGGACAGATTCCATGCTGTAGTGGGTGAAAGGTTCTCAAGACAGTGTGGTGTGGGCAGCTGGCGTGGTGCCCAGGGTATGTGGTAGAGACAAACAATCAGTTTCATGAAAATTGAACATCACGAAAATTCCCTGAAACTGATGGTTTCCCCCGCTCCTTACAAGTCCAACACGTGGTTTGACGTAGGAAATGTAATTTGTTTTGTTTATACGTACAGGCAGCAGTTTGATAATTGGTTTATATTCTCCAATGAGAAGGTTGCTTTATTTATGTCTAAAAAGTAGATCAAAGTTCTCATTGATTGATATAATCCAACACAGAGCAGAATCCTGTGGAACAGTCGTAGCCACAACAAACACAGCCTCAGTCTTGTAACACCGCACCACAAACCATGATGAAGTAAATACTATTACAAGAACCATTTACTCGTCTCATCCTTGAGGTTTAGTGTAGATACCTATTGTGCCAAATTTGATGTGAACACAGCTGTAGAAAAGTCACACTCACCATTCACAACCTAACATAGTACGATGCTTTTACATTTGTGTGGTGACTCCGGAGAATGAACCTTACGAGAGGAGCAAGTAGAGTCCATCAGCACTTGTCACACCACAGGTACAGAGACAAAGGGCGAGGCCCCATCCTCAGGCAAGTTGATGACACAGAGACAGGAGGTATAGAAGGCAACAGACACACTTGTGCTTTTCTTTTATCGTAAAACACTAGATGATAGTAGAGAAAAATAACAGAGTATGTTTTGGTTATATTAATCTACTGACAAAGGTATATACTTTAAAACATTTAATTAAACACATGGTATTATTCATTCTGGATGCTTACATACATGAATATTGTTTATTATAAAACTATGTTGGTTTTATTTCAATTTGCTCTCTGGATGGAGTCAGCACCTGGGAGACAGAAGGATACATGACACACTGACACTTCTCATATACACATTGCTGGTGATTTAGGCCAAGTCTTCACAGTGTCAAAACTATGTCTTTATATCATCTTATTCTCAGACAGTCATCTCAAAGAAGCTAAACTTCTTCTCCTTGATGATTGACTGAGTGACAATTAGCTCCTCTGCACTGGCCCACGGGATGGGTATGGGGTGTATAATAAAGAAAGGAAAATGCACTGGCTGAGTCTTTTTAGTCGACGGATGAAGACGGCGTAACTCGCAAGCAATGGCATCACATCACACTTTACGTTACAGGCTGTGATTCTCAAATAAGAGATTTCAAGCCGCCATTCTGTCAATAAGGCCAAGTCCTTTGATGCAGAAGGAACCTGAAGACTTAGGAGCGACCCGACGTGAGAACCCACGATCACTGACACTGACACTATGGAGATGATTCATTGGCAGAAAAATTCCATGATCACAAAATTACAACATAAGTCCGATGACACAGTACTGAACTAAGGCGCGACACACGTGTGTTGTATAATGGTTTGGTTTCTGATGCAACGGAGATTTTTCACGGTCGTATTGAGGGAACCATCTCGAGTAAGCCGTCTTATCTTGTTCAATGCTTCCTGGGAAGGGGGGGGGGCAATAAGGTAAAGATAAACCATTGAACTTGGAGTCAAGAGTTTCAGATCCTTCAGAACAAAGTTGGAGCATTCCTCTTTGGTTATCATAGCTGGGATATGCAGAGGTATTTAGTGATAAGGAGTAACTTAAAACTGTTCACCCATTGTCAAAAATAAAATGTCAAAATATGACTGACTTCATATTACCATGTACAGTATAAAACAATCACACAATAAAAACAATGCTTCTTTCAAAAATATATATGATACATTAAGTGATAAATAATATTTTTGTCATTAACATTCCAGAAAACATTGAGCGTATAAGACATTAGTCTGAGATCATTCCAGTAATATGGCAATTGGAGTTATTGGTACATATACCACATCTTATATACTAATTACAAAGAGCATATGCCTAAACTCTGCAGTTACATCGGATAGAGAGTGTTAACTCATACTGTTGATTATCTAAGGCAGAAGTAATCTATAATAATATAATATTTACAAAGCACATCTTCTGTTTATCTTCAATCCAGTTCTGACTCAAGCAGGCCATATTAAGTCACTGTTCAAATGAAAGACGACAATCCACACCAGTAATTTTTGAACTTTCATAACAAAATACAAGAGGTTTTGGATCTTGGTATCAGTAGAGGATGAAACAGTAGCCTATCACCCTTACTTAACAAGTTTGTTTACTTTTGTGATCACAGTAACAAATATATAAACTCCGCAACTCTGTAATAAGAGGGAACATCAACAGCTCTATAGAATCCCAACGGTGGGGTCACGAGCCACCGTTAACACATGTTTATGAGATTAAACACTCCACTACTCGACCTAACTCTTTGAAAGTGCTTACAGAGTTAGTTCTGAACAGGCAAATATGAACTATCTCATTCAATTTTATATATATATATATATATATATATATATATATATATATATATATATATATATATATATATATATATATATATATATATATATTTGTGTGTGTGTAGCCAATTTTCATCAAAGGTATTCATGCTTATGGTGGTCTTAAGTACCGTATATTAGGAGCTTTTAATGGACATACCGAGTGGCTTATTAAAAACAATTTTCGTATATTTTTTTCCAGTTGGAAGCTCTATCATCCAAAAAGGGCAAGGTTAGGATTCAACCACAATAATATTATGCCAGAATCAAACGAAATTAAAATGACAGAAACTATTTACACTTAATTTTTCCATCTCCAATTGAATAATTCTTGACATCTTTTAGTCTAGATTAGAACTCCGCTCAGTAATTTATGATTATATCCTTTATAATATGTCCTTTAGTCCTTGTCTTCCACAAACGTTTGTCCAGGCTCGTTATTTGGTCATCACAAAAAGGTCAGCCATTATAGTATTATTAATCTACACAACTCAAACATTCACTGTGTTTTATATTCCTTGTGTGTGTGTACATCTTATAGTCCTATCTACTAGTCTATATTCAATAAACGTCTATATAGAAATAAATAGAAGGAAACGAGAGGGAGGGAGAATGGAGTTATGCGTTAGATAAATAACTAAGACAGTTACACTACGATAAACTAACAGTGAAGTGATTGAGGAAATTAATGTGATATTCGTAACTGAGAATGTCAACGCTAGGCTCTGAGATACAGTAGTTGAGGCTATCTATATTGTTCTTGCTATAGACTGTACAGTCAGCAACTGGAGATAGTTTTAGTCAAACCGTTAAAGTGGTTACTGAAACACATTCGTGTCTCCCAATTCACAATGACATGGTGACATGTAGGACAAAAATGTGTCTTTAAGCAGTACAAATGCGGCCATGTTTGTGTCTTCCCATCTACACCCTAATTCACAACTGGTCAAGATACTAATTATATTATATGCTAACTGGTCGAAAATCCACCTAGCAGACAATCTACCTAGTAGGTATCCTAACTGGTAGATGATCTACGTAGACGAAGACACTATCATTGGTAATCCAATAGCTACTCTTTCCATACACAGCGCCCAGATGGCTGCTCCTGTTAACAGATGAGGTTAAGCATGCTTCCTGTCTCTTTCAAAATTTTCCTAGGTAATTTTCAGCTTCGTTAAATTGCTACTTTCGGAAACAGAGGATAAAAGGAATCCTATAGATATTTACAGCATTCATACTAATTTTGAGTAAACCTCGAGAATAATTAAATTTTATCATTTGAATTAACACAACTACGCAGAGCAGAAATGACCTAAATACTTGCGTTTATTCTTGTGCTAATCCTTGTTCGTACCCCTGGAAATATATAGTCTTGTTACAATTTACAGCAAAAATTGTTTCTAAATTAAAATGTTTCTGTATTTAGAGTTTCTGCTGCTAATGTTTACTGCGTGAACGCAGCAAGAATAACAACGGAACGTCGCACACGCCCACATGTCCCGCGATCCTCCTCGACGACAACTCTTCGGCGCAGCGCAGATTTAGTCGGGTTGTGGGCGTGGTCTGGGGGTCTATCCGTGGGCGTGGCTGGTGGCTGGTCAGTTTATGTTAGGCGCGAACAGAAGGATGGGAGGTGGAGGAGGGGAAGGCGAGGAAGTTTAGCGACCCCCCAGAATGTTAGCACTGACAGGAGCCATTCTGTGGCTGTGGGTTCTCTGTGAGCCGAGTGCCCTTGTTAGCGTTCACCAGGTTAGGGTCTGTGTCCAGACTCTCAGACATCTTGTCGCAGATGATGTCCACCAGCCGCTCAAACACAGCCTGAAACACACCACATAATAATGATAATAATAATAACGAACACTTCCTTGGACGTAAGTTCGTACCACCTCACAGCCTTAGTGGATTTTATCACTGATTTATAACGCGTTTGTGTGATTTTAGTGTCTCTCTCAATAATAATAATAATAATAAAACTCAAGATGGTATTAGGCATCCACTAAGAAGCAAGGTCCACAAACTGTTTCCTACACATCCCACTTAGCTTCACTGCAACTCTCTTCCTCAAGACTAAACAACTGAAAAAAGCTATTTAAATGTTGCAAAATATGTAACATGATATCCTCCAAAATATGTAACATGATATCCTCCAAAATATGTAACATGATATCCTCCAAAATATGTAAAATTATATCCTCCAAAATATGTAAAATTATATCCTCCAAAATATGTAAAATTATATCCTCCAAATTATGTAAAATTATATCCTCCAAATTATGTAAAATTATATCCTACAAAATATGTAAAATTAAGGAACTCCTTCTGGCAACACACCATCCATCACAACAGTCACCTGAACAATTCAAACATTATATAAATGATTATACCACAAAATGGTATTCGTCAAATTTCAGGTATAATACTTCACATTATTATATAACGATATACAGGTCAAGCCAAGACCTATATGGCTACATATAACTGTAACAGCAAAAGTGCAGGTCTAACTTACCACAACCAAACGTAACTGGGATTTATTATAAATACGAAAATAATAATACTCCATAAATTACACCAAAGATTCAAAACATACGATTATATATACACCGGAGGCTAATTATGTCTATTAAAATGATAACATAGATCAAGAGGAGTCTTGCGGCGCACTGATCAACGCAGTCATTACCCACAAGGTGGCCTGGGCATGGTCACTGGCTGGGCTTCCTAGCGGGGGACCAAGATAACCGTAAAAGGTTATCTGTCCCTAAAGAATGGTGATAACCGAGACTTAATGGAAATAATAATAAGTAGGGGTCTCTCCGTCGGAGCCAGCGACGGTCTGTTGTACTGGTTCACAATGTGTCTGGGACTACAGCCTGTTAACAGCGGGTTGGTCACTAAGACCACCACAATACCTTACTGACCCAACCAGCAAGTATATTTTACGACTATGGTCAGGACTAAAGTATATTCTCAGTGTATATACACACCGATAAGCGGCGTATACCTTTCTGTATATATATATATATATATATATATATATATATATATATATATATATATATATATATATATATATATATATATATATATATATATATATCACCGATTTTCCCATTTTGTACTGGAAAGTTTCGGTATATAACCCTTGCATGTGACGGCCCACGGCCACGTGATGCATGTCAACATTAGGCTGTGGAGGGAAGCCTAATTGTCTACAGGAATGTTTTGTTGTTTAATTTACATTGGAGGGTAGAGGAGGAGACGGGTTCTGAACTGGCGGTAGCAAATTAAGACCTCACACACCCCACAACTTATCCTAAGCCTTACCCTACTAGTTCTCCCTGGAACACAAGCTGCCGCCACCTACGGCCGCAGCCGCATGTAAACAACAGAGCACGTGGTCGCATGCGGCGCACCTGCAAGGTAATCTACCTGTCCTCTCCAGTAACACATCGCATTTTCACGTCAAAATCCCTCAACGGAAAAAAATATTGTACATTTTAGCCGCTCACAAAAGTTCACGTTTTCTATGCGTGCGTCGTCTGTTGGGATAACGTTAGGTAAGATATAAATGTAGTACATCATTTTCTGTCCGTTGTGATAACTCGAGAGGACAGGCTGATGTGATAGCAGGTACGGCTAGCATGTCCTCTTCTCCCACAGGTATATGTGGGATATGCCATTACAGCATATGTAAGGAGCATTATAACATATGTAAGGAGCATTTCAACATATGTAAGGAGCATTACAATATATGTAAGGAGCATTTCAACATATGTAAGGAGCATTATAACATATGTAAGGAACATTACAACATATGTAAGGAGCATTACTACATATGTAAGGAGCATTACAACATATATAAGGAGCATTACAACATATATAAGGAGCATTACTGCATATGTAAGGATCATTACGACATATGTAAGGAGCATTACTACATATGTAAGGAACATTACAACATATGTAAGGATCATTACAACATATGTAAGGATCATTTCAACATATGTAAGCATCTGTTGAAATGCTCCTCAACATGCAGGCGATGAGTCACAATAACGTGGCTGAAGTATGTTGACCAGACCACACACTAGTAGGTGAAGGGACGACGACGTTTCGGTCCGTCCTGGACCATTCTGAAGTCGACGTCTCCTCAACATACTCTACACTTTTCTTCCCTCCCTAAATCCGTATGAGCGCTCGGCCCCAGACCTAAATTGTAACATATCTCTCCCACCTGCCACTCCACCCTTGACTTCATCCACTCTCACATTCTTTCCTTCCCCGGGCTTTACCCCCAAGTCCCCCTTCCTCCCTTCAACTTTCCTCCCTGTGGACTTACCTTGACATTAATGTTCTCCTTGGCAGAGGTCTCGTAGAACTCGAGTCCCAGTTGGTCTGCGAGTTGTTTACCTCGCTCGTAGGAGATGACTCTCTCGTCCTCCATGTCGCACTTGTTCCCCACCAGGATCACCTGGGCGTTGTCCCACGAGTACGTCTTGATCTGCGTGCACCTGTTGACGGGGAAGATGATGACTGAGAGATCTACTCGCACTCGTTTGAGGAAGATGATGATTGAGAGACGCTGACTCTGGGGAAGGCCAGGGAGGCACTCGGGGGGTAAGGATGTCACAGGGTGAAGAGGGACCAGAAGAGTGACGGTCACTGAAGTGAGGCACTCTAACCTGTGAGGGTTCCAGAGTGACTGTTCAGGTGTGTGTGTGTGTGTGTGTGTGTGTGTGTGTGTGTGTGTGTGTGTGTGTGTGTGTGTGTGTGTGTGTGTGTGTGTGTGTGTGTGTGTGCCCAATTGTTGACAAGTGGAGTCAGAGTGTGCAAGGTTATATATGAGGGTGTGTACAGATGGCAGTAGGGGTGGAAGCAGACATTGACAGGTTGATGTATGCATCTGTGATCCCCAGCACCAGGAGAGGACGGTGATGGCTCACTGGGGAGTACATACACACTGGGGAAGGCTGCCTCTGGGTGCCACAGGGAGACTAACTGTGTAGAGACAGGGAAGAGAGTCGGGTGTGTGAGGGAAGACAGGTCAGCAGGGCGGGAGGGCGAGTGAACAACACGTTCTCCAGACTTCCGTAAACAAATGCAACAATCTGACCTAAAGAGACACAAACCAACCCGTGCAGCCCACCTAACCCATCGAACCAGATGCCTAAAGACGTTAATATCATTGGTGCTAAAATTTGTACCGATATGACGCGTTTTTAACGGAGCTGTCGATTCCGTCGGCCTCCCTGAGATAGAGGAACAGGTCTGGGAAGGAAGGAAGGGGGAAGGGAGGGTCGAGGGAGGGAGAGGGAGAGAAGGAGGGAGAGAGGGAGGGAGGGAGAGAAGGAGGGAGAGAGGGGTTGCCATTCTCGTGCTGGGCTGAGCTATTCTGGTGCCGGAGTTCCTGGAAACCATTGTCAGACTCTTGGCACCTGGTCACGGTCACACATCATGGTCTCCTGTCATGTTCGTTCCTCATGCTCCCGTCACACCCCGGTGTCACGCTACCTCATGTTCGGTTATTTTGTCATTCTCGTGTCATGCTCCCGTGTCATGCGTCATGCTTTTACAGCATGTTCCTGTCATATTCGTTTGTCGTGTTCCTGTGTGTGTGAGGCTCCTGTATCATGTTCCTGTGTGTGTGAGGCTCCTGTATCATGTTCCTGTGTGTGTGAGGCTCCTGTATCATGTTCCTGTGTGTGTGAGGCTCCTGTATCATGTTCCTGTGTGTGTGAGGCTCCTGTATCATGTTCCTGTGTGTGTGAGGCTCCTGTATCATGTTCCTGTGTGTGTGAGGCTCCTGTATCATGTTCCTGTGTGTGTGAGGCTGCTGTATCATGTTCCTGTGTGTGTGAGGCTCCTGTATCATGTTCCTGTGTGTGTGAGGCTCCTGTATCATGTTCCTGTGTGTGTGAGGCTGCTGTATCATGTTCCTGTGTGTGTGTGAGGCTCCTGTATCATGTTCCTGTGTGTGTGTGGCTCGTGTATCATGCTCCTGTGTGTGTGTGGCTCGTGTATCATGTTCCTGTGTGTGTGTGAGGCTCCTGTATCATGTTCCTGTATGTGTGAGGCTCCTGTATCATGTTCCTGTATGTGTGAGGCTCCTGTATCATGTTCCTGTGTGTGTGAGGCTCCTGTATCATGTTCCTGTGTGTGTGAGGCTCCTATATCATGTTCCTGTGTGTGTGAGGCTCCTGTATCATGTTCCTGTGTGTGTAAGGCTCCTGTATCATGTTCCTGTGTGTGTGAGGCTCCTATATCATGTTCCTGTGTGTGTGAGGCTCCTGTATCATGTTCCTATGTGTGTGTGGCTCCTGTATCATGTTCCTGTGTGTGAGAGGCTCCTGTATCATGTTCCTGTGTGTGTGAGGCTCCTGTATCATGTTCCTGTGTGTGTGAGGCTCCTATATCATGTTCCTGTGTGTGTGAGGCTCCTATATCATGTTCCTGTGTGTGTGAGGCTCCTGATTCATGTTCCTGTGTGTGTGTGGCTCCTGTATCATGTTCCTGTGTGTGAGAGGCTCCTGTATCATGTTCCTGTGTGTGTGAGGCTCCTGTATCATGTTCCTGTGTGTGTCAGGCTCCAGTATCATGTTCCTGTGTGTGTGAGGCTCCTGTATCATGTTCCTGTGTGTGTGAGGCTCCTGTATCATGTTCCTGTGTGTGTCAGGCTCCTGTATCATGTTTCTGTATGTGTCAGGCTCCTGTATCATGTTCCTGTGTGTGTGAGGCTCCTGTATCATGTTCCTGTGTGTGAGAGGCTCCTGTATCATGTTCCTGTGTGTGTGAGGCTCCTGTATCATGTTCCTGTGTGTGTGAGGCTCCTGTATCATGTTCCTGTGTGTGTGAGGTTCCTGTATCATGTTCCTGTATGTGTCAGGCTCCAGTATCATGTTCCTGTGTGTGTGAGGCTCCTGTATCATGTTCCTGTGTGTGTGTGAGGCTCCTGTATCCTGTTCCCGTGACATCCCCTGTCATGATCACTGAGGCCACATTCCGGGTTATGTTGAACATTTGGTTGATTAATTTGGTTGGGTTTAATCGCCTCTATAAATCACCTGCCCCGGGTGCCAAGAGGAATCCATCATCCAGTAATTATTATATGTTAATGTAATCATTTGTCTCTATAATTATTTGTGTGTGTATAATGTTTGAACCTATAATTATTTGGGTATACAATTAGTGTATATAATTATTGACGGATATAATTTACTAGTGTTTGCATGATGATTATCTGGATGTTTGGCCTGAACCCTAATATTAATCCCTCGGTTAGAACCCTAACATTAATCCCTTGGTCAGAACCCTAATATTAATCCCTGGGTCAGAACCCTAACATTAATCCCTTGGTCAGAACCCTAATATTAATCCCTGGGTCAGAACCCTAATATTAATCCCTGGGTCAGAACCCTAATATTAATCTCTCGGTCAGAACCCTAACATTAATCCCTTGGTCAGAACCCTAATATTAATCCCTGGGTCAGAACCCTAATATTAATCCCTCGGTCAGAACCCTAATATTAATCCCTCGGTCAGAACCCTAATATTAATCCCTCGGTCAGAACCCTAATATTAATCCCTGGGTCAGAACCCTAATATCAATCCCTCGGTCAGAACCCTAATATTAATCCCTCGGTCAGAACCCTAACATTAATCCCTCGGTCAGAACCCTAACATTAATCCCTCGGTCAGAATCCTAACAGGTGAGACACGAACCACTGCCTAGGGTCCCGGGGCTAATATATATATACGGGCTCACCATAGCCCGTGCTACTTGGAACTGTAAGTTCCAGGTAGCTGAATCTATAACAACAACAACAGCCCGGGGCTAAAGATATTAAGAAACATTCCGGAACACGCACGAGAGGAAAACTAACTACCAGTTATGCTCGAGTTTATCTCAGCTAAAGATACTTGTGAGGAGCCTTGGAGCCTGGAAGCTGTGAGCCTTATCTGACTCAACCCGCCCTAAGACACAGTGGCCATAGAGAACACAGGAGTCCTAAGCCTTCTTTTCCTTGTCCATCCCTCTATTATTAATCCTGAGAGCCTTCACTTAGTAATTCTCTCTTGTACTGATCCTCTCCAAGTCTGGTACTGGTCCTCTCCATCTTTACAGATCCTGCATGAGCCTTCCTCGGAACATTTCCCCATTATTCAATGATTCTCTCCGTGGTTCTTCCCTTCTCTGCTAGGCTTATGTGAGTCTTCCTGCGTCCTGTCTTACACTACTAATACTCCTGAAGCTTTACTCGATCCCTCTATGAGCATTTTCCGGGGCCTTCTCTCCATTCCTAACCCTTATTGAGCCTTGAATCCTTACAGCCGCTACTTACCCTCATAAAGTACTTTTCTAGAGATCTTCCCTTCACTTTAGGATGCTTTTCTGGGTCCTTTTCTACTTTACTGACCATCCATGAGCTTTCATGGAGTTATGGACACTTATGGACTCTCCACGATCCATATTAGAAGTCTTCCCTTCCATTACTGATCCTGCATGACCATTCTCAGGACCTTTACCGCTATGAGGTCTCCTTGGGTCACTCCCTCGGTTATTGATCCTTGAAATGCATTTGACATCAAATAAAACGATTCTCAGATGTGGTAAGTGGCTGGCGCTCCCTTCCGTACAGTAGTACCGTGAGGGTCCGGGAAGGCGGCGTGCCAACTGCTGGTGGAGACAGACAGACAGACAGACAGACAGACAGACACAGGCGTCACCCGTCCACCCCACCATGTCACCTCGGGACACATTTCCCGCCACTGTGTTGAGGCCGACGTGTTCACGTGACGTGGGCGCTGAGGCCGACGTGTTCACGTGACGTGGGAGCTGAGGCCGACGTGTCCACGTGACGTGGGAGCTGAGGCCGACGTGTTCACGTGACGTGGGAGCTGAGGCCGACGTGTTCACGTGACGAGGGAGCTGAGGCCGACGTGTCCACGTGACGTGGGAGCTGAGGCCGACGTGTTCACGTGACGTGGGCGCTGAGGCCGACGTGTTCACGTGACGTGGGAGCTGAGGCCGACGTGTCCACGTGACGTGGGAGCTGAGGCCAACGTGTTCACGTGACGAGGGAGCTGAGGCCGACGTGTCCACGTGACGTGGGAGCTGAGGCCGACGTGTTCACGTGACGTGGGAGCTGAGGCCGACGTGTTCACGTGACGAGGAGCTGAGGCCGACGTGTTCACGTGACGTGGGCGCTGAGGCCGACGTGTTCACGTGAGGGACGTGGTAGCTGTCGTTGCAGTAAACACAGCGGGCGGAGGTCATGACGCAAATGCGTTACACAAAGCTAGTTTAGCGTGCGCGTGGGAGGCACTCAACCTATTATCGTATATAGCGTGATGGATTAATGGGGTTTTGAGTGTGTTGAGCGGTCAAGAGGAAGGGGCGTGGTAGACGGGTGGTGCATGCGAGGGTTGAGCTCTGGCTCTTTGGTCCCGCCTCTCAACCGTCAATCAACTGGTGTACAGGTTCCTGAGCCTACTGGGCTCTATCATATCTACATTTGAAACTGTGTATGGAGTCAGCCTCCACCACATCACTGCCTAATGCATTCCACCTGTTAACTACTCTGACACTGAAAAAGTTCTTTTTAACGTCCCTGAGGCTGTGTGTGTGTGTGTGTGTGTGTGTGTGTGTGTGTGTGTGTGTGTGTGTGTGTTCACACCTAATCATACGTGCAAGGGTTGAGTGAACCCCTGAGCCCCGCCTCAGCGGCTGTTGGTTGTTTAAAACATTAACACTGAACCTTTCAATTTCTTATACAAGTATATTACAAGAGCAGGACCCACCTGGCGCGTCTCCGGGTCCTGGCCGGAAGGTGAGGAGCTCCAAGAGATCCACAATCACCAATAACCTTAACCTGAAATTCTGTAATCTTTAATTCTTTTAATTCTGTAATCCGCGTGTAACCTGTAACCTTTGAACTATCAAATACAGCGAAAGAAAACGTAACAAGTAGGGGGGGGGGTGGTGTTGTTGTTGAAAGGACAAAAGAACGAGGAAACTGTATTGAGGGGAAAAGGGGACTCGACTGAGAGCTGGACTGAGCGCTCAGGCAAAGAGGGGGCCTGAAAATCCCACCTAATGCTGTGTGTGTGCCGTTCTCTGAGGCTATGGATCTTCTCTCCTCTTTCAGCCAGGGGTGGGGGTGGGGGGTGGGGGGGCACAAAATGCGTTCAGCATTTTCTATTTCTTCAAATGTAGTTTTTCTGCATACCTGGATCAGTGTTTTTATGATCATTGTTCCATATAAACGTATGTTTTTATGATCATTGTTCCATATAAACGTATGTCTATATATATATAAATATATATATATATATATATATATATATATATATATATATATATATATATATATATATATATATATAATGTCTCCGAGAGCCGTGTTATCTACACTTGGATCAAGCGGCTAATTGATAAAGGCGTCGCAGAAGCAATTAGTCAACAGCTGATTACCTGTTTAATTCACAACCATTAGTGGCTTATTGTGCAGGGCGCTAATTATGTTATTGTGTGAGCTCCGTGACTCATAGTGAGCACAGCGCTCAGTCAAGTTCACTGCACAAACGGTGGGCAGAGCGCACAGTTAAGTTGACTGCTTCGGAGGGTGGGCAGAGTGCTCAGGTAAGCTGACTGCTCAGAGAGTAGACTGAGCGCTCAGGTAATAGAATGAAGGGATCCATAGCTGGATACACAGTTATGGATCCCTTGTTCATAAGTGGATATAAACCCCCTCGTTCATAATCCATACGGATACGACATTGTCTGGCTACACACATGGCTAAATGTCCATATGGATTCGACATTAACCGGCTACACACATGGCTAAATGTCCATATGGATTCGACATTAACCGGCTACACACATGGCTAAATGTCCATATGGATTCGACATTAACCGGCTACACACATGGCTAAATGTCCATATGGATACGACATTAACTGGCTACACACATGGCTAAATGTCCATATGGATTCGACATTAACTGGCTACACACATGGCTAAATGTCCATACGGATTCGACATTAACCGGCTACACACATGGCTAAATGTCCATACGGATTCGACATTAACCGGCTACACACATGGCTAAATGTCCATACGGGTTCGACATTAACCGGCTACACAGATGAGTCACAGAAATGTCGTGAACTGTTTCAGTCCACGAGTCGTAAATGAGTGGAACAGACTAAACGAGGAAGTTGTTAAAGTTAATTCATTATACATTTTAAATATAAAAATTTGAAAAAAAATTGAGGGAATTGAGTCACTGCCCTGAACTACTGATGGTCGAAAGACCATCATTTAAATATCATTTACATTGAAGAGAAAATGTTCAACAATGAAAGCACAAAAAGGCTAGTACAACTAGGTGAGAAAAAGAGTGCTCAGGTAAGTTGACCGCTCAGACTGGGTGGACTGAGCGCTCAGACGGGGTGGACTGAGCGCTCAGACGGGGTGGACTGAGCGCTCAGATGGGGTGGACTGAGCGCTCAGACGGGGTGGACTGAGGGCTCAGACTGGGTGGACTGAGCGCTCAGACGGGGTGGACTGAGCGCTCAGACGGGGTGGACTGAGCGCTCAGACGGGGTGGACTGAGGGCTCAGACGGGGTGGACTGAGCGCTCAGACTGGGTGGACTGAGCGCTCAGACGGGGTGGACTGAGCGCTCAGACTGGGTGAACTGAGCGCTCAGACGGGGTGGACTGAGCGCTCAGCCAATCTGACCGCTCAGATAGTGGCCCCCAAGCACTTCAGGATCAAGTGGGTGACCTATTTTTTATGCCATATAAGATTCAGAGGCAATTTTGGTTTTCCCAGGATTCATATTTGAGTGAAATAACATTTGTGCTTGGGGGGTGGGGGGGGGGGGCAGCGGGGGATTGAGCTTTAGCTGATGGGTCCTGGCTCATGACATAGTTTGCCTTAACAAAAAATGCTTTCTTCTTTATTCCATTAATTATGCTCTTACACTGATTTTATTATATATAATATCCCTGTGGCTCACTCGGGCACGTGCTATCCACCGGTGTTCCTTTTATTTGTATATCACCAATGCGTAAAAGTGTCTAAATGCCTGGTTATTGAGTCCTTCACAGTCTGTGATTACCGTCTTGTATCGTCAGTCCTGACACATCAACAGGATCATTACCCCTTATTCCCTCCATTTCTGTCTTTTCTTATTACATTGTAGCGCTATGGGAATACTCAATTTTTTACGAATTCTGACAGTTTTGTTTCTGCGAGCGCAATTACATCTGGATAATGTCTTTTATTTTCATGAAATATGAAATTTCTGAAAATCCATCTAGGTTTGTGTACGTAACTTTACAGCTTACTTTTTTCTGTGCAGTTTCACATTCAAGCTGCTTTATCTATCTCTCTCTCTCTCTCTCTCTCTCTCTCTCTCCTCTCTCTCTCTCTCCTCTCTCTCTCTCTCTATATATATATATATATAATATATATTATATATATATATATATATATATATATATATATATATCAGTGAAAGGAAGGTGTTAGGGCAGCACACAACAAGGAAGATGATGAAGACTGGTTGCAATGGGCACCGAGGCCACAGAATATTAGAATCTGAGGAGAGACTGCGGAGGTTAGAGGGAGGATAGGAAGATATGGCGGTGAGGAGCAGAGGGAACTGGCTCCAGTTTAGGGACGTGGAATGGGGACGTATGATGGGGGAGGGGGGGGGGGGGGGGGATGGGATGGGGGTGTGAAAACGCTTGGGGTATGTTCTGTGTGTGTATTTACTATTTGTGTCTGCAGAACTGAGTTATTTAGCTCTTGGATCCCGCCTTTCAAGCTATTTTTCCTCTATTATGTCTACTACATATATTTATCTCTAAGACGCACACACTCACACACATGTAGGGATGTGTGGTGAGTACATTCCCAGGAAGCAACCCGTAGTAGCTGTCTAACTCCCAGGTATCTATTTACTGCTAGGTGAACAAAGGCATCAGGGTGAAAGAAACTCTGCCCATTTGTTTCCGCCATCGCCGGAGATCGATCCCTGAACCCTAGGACTACTAATCCCAAGCGCTATCCACTCAGCTGTCAGGTCCCCCCACACACACTCGGGGGCCCTCGCGGCTGAGTGGGCAGCGCTCTGAGGTCGTAGTCCTAGGGGGTCGGGTTCGATCCTTGATAGAGGCAAAAACAAATGGACAGAGTTTCTTTTACCCCGATGCCCCTGTTCACATAGCAGTTAATAGGTACATGGGAGTTAGACAGCTGCTACGGGCTGCTTCCTGGAGATGTGTGATTGTGTCAGAAAGAAATATATGTAGCATACATAACAGAGGAAAAATAAATTGGTTAGAAAGGCGGGGTTCAGGAGCTAATAACTCGATTCTGCAGACATAAATAGTAAACACAAATCATACACACACACACACACACACACACACACACACACACACACACACACACACACACACACACACACACACACCACACACACACAAACACACACACATACACACACACCATCGCAGCTGTCTAACTCTCAAGTCCCTATTTACTATTATGTGAAAGAAACTGCGCATTCGATTCCCTGCCTCTGCCGGGAATCGAATCCGGACCCTTAGGACTACGAGCCTCGAGCGCTGTCCGCTCGACCGCGAAGACCTGTAATCATCTAGTTGTACTCACCTAGTTGTGCTTGCGGAGGTTGAGCTCAGCTTCTTTGATCCCACCTCTCAACTGTCAATCGTGTGTGTATGTGAACGCCACTCCCCCCCCCTCCCCCCACTTTTCCACACCAGAAGCGCCCCACCCCCCCTCCACCTCCTCCTCCCTCTGCTACAAGCACCAATATCTCACAAAACAGTCTAGCATATAGTGCTTCCCGGAGAGCGGTCCCGTGGTCGGAATACTTAATGTGTGAGAGGAGAAGAGAGAGAGAGAGAGAGAGAGAGAGAGAGAGAGAGAGGGGGGGGGGAAGGGGAGGAGGGAGTGGGGAGGGATTGATAAAGAGGAAGGATCCGCCTCGGGTCTGAATACCCTCGTTAGATTGAGTCATTAGGATCGAGGCGGTGCTCGTTAAAGCTTGTTCACCGCCCGGGGTTTATATGGAGTCCTCTGATATTTCTATACCATTATATTATATCCTTACTGGCAAAGAGAGACGTGTATAGTTATATGACAAAAATTGTCGTGTCTGTATTTACATGCATCTTGCACTTGCCTACCTTGTGAGGATTGAACTCCAGCTCCTGGACCCCCAGTCCATATCTACAT